ATATTATGTTTGGTTAGTTGTCGGGACCTTTACTTTATATCATTGGCCTCACTGCTACGGAGCATGCTGGAACGACACTGTGTTGTATTGCCAGCGGCTGGCCCGGAACATTGTCTCGACCGAGTACAGCAGCCTTACCCCTGATTGCATAATCCTTGAGAAAGAAAAAAAAATTCCCCCGTTCTGGCACACCCCAAAATCAAAAATCAAAAATTTCAATTTTTCTGTATAGGTTCACAACCACAATTAATTATAGTCTAAGAATTATAAAATATATACTTTATACATCTAAGTATTTATTATTAAAGTATCTAAAAAATTTAACTTATATAACGTAAGTAAAATGATAAAATGTTGATTTGACATTGCCGAGGGTACGCTGAAAAATCATCTGAATAAATGCCAAGATTTTTTTTTCTTTACCTCGGCTATTCTAAAGCTATCAAGAGTACTTCGTAAAATTCGCTATCATTCTATTTTATAATATAACGAATAATTTAAATCTTTTAAAAATTTTATAATCTAATCTACACTCTATTTATTAAATTTTGATAATTTTTCAGATTATAATTAATTGTGATTAAGAACCTATATAGAAAAATTGAAATTTTTGATTTTTGATTTTGGGGTGTGCCAGAACGGTGGGAATTTTTTTTTTTTCTCAAGGATTATGCAATCAGGGGTATATGCCACGCTAGGGTCTCACGGTCTTTAGTGCCCTTCAGCCCCCCCCCAGGAACCCCAAGCGAGGCATGATTATCATGATTATGGAATCCCTCAACCTTTCAATGCGCCTTTGGGCGTCTGGATACAAAAACAACTGCCATTCTTCAATACGAGAGCAACATGACACCTTGTCCTTTAGAAAGAGAAACACTCGTCACTGCTCCTGTGTCATCCGCCCACCATCATCCGACCATCCATCGTCCAACTCAGCCAATCTCTGCCTTATATTTTTACCTTCTTTAACTAAAATTAGTAATTGATATAATCTTGTTGCTCTACACGGTTACTCTCTTTCAGAAATACTCCATCAAGCTTCTCCCTCACCCAACATGTCTCAAGCTTCTCCGTCCGAAGAGGCTTCGGCTTCAAACTCAGCCTCCCCTCCTCCAGGAAAACCTAGGCGCGAGGGCAATGATTCTCTATGGAAGCGGGCAAGACGCACTTTGGGCACCAATTCTTTGACCTTTTTGCAACCCACTACTAGACCTGCTGGTACGTCTCGTACGCAAAGCCTTTCAATCGTGGGCATCCAATGGCCCTTTCCAACTGCACTTTTCCCTGCATATTCTGGTGGTACGCAGTCTGCAAGTCATGGCTTCGATATTTCTCATCATGACACAATAATCGGCGCAGGCACACAAGTTCGTTGATGGCGGTGTTGGAAACGCAATTAGATGGTACGAAGATTAGGCTAACATCAGAATTTTATTCCTCCGCAGGAACGGCGGCTCCTGCCACTGGATCTGGTCCGGCCGCGCCAAGCAAAAGGAGGGAGCAAGTGCGGCATGCGCAACGGTATGTGTTTTCAACCTGGTTCCTATTACATTACCATGCTTATCTCTTCCTTTCCCCCACATCACATTCTCTGCCAATCACACTCATGATTACTTACATATAATGCAGTACCCATCGTCAGCGGACGCAGAACTACATCAAGACTCTAGAATCCGAAGTCGTTCGTCTTCGAGAAGCTGAAACGAGCTTGATGCAAGAACGAGACAAACTCCAAAGCCAAATCGTTAATTTGAAAAACACCATCATCTTATCCAACATTCCACTCCCAGAGGGTACAGAAGACATCGGAACATCCTCACCACCCCTTCGACCATTTGCCGATCTCGACATGCCGGCAACAGTCTCATACTCCAATGACGCTCTTAACCATCCACGTCTGCATGTCAACTTCCCTCAACGTCAAGAACCTACTAGCCAAGGATTGGACTACCCAACCCAAACCTACCCTCTTTCCTCACCCTACCAAGAGCATCAGCAGTACACCAATGTTCCTCAATCTGCGCCGGACCTCCCCAACGGTTGGTGGCCCATTCCTTATCGTATGAATATGTCTGGCTGAAGCCTGCCACAAGACTTCTCACTCAACACGATAAATCTCTCGTCATCAAGTTCAAAACACGGGCCCCCAGCGAATGCCAACGCCACCATCGTTGTCGACACAATAGAAACAGCCATCGATTTCGTCCTCGCGCTGGAACATCCATGCATGCCACATATTCCCTATCAAGACCCTCCTTCTGCCGATCCAGCCAACCATATGATGATGGCCTCGACACCGCTGATGGCTCGTTCGCCGGAGCCTCCGCAGTTCAATTCCACGTGGACGGCAAGTGGCGCGATTATCAAAGAGTTGCTGAATTTATCATCGAGCATCAATCTTGAAGGAGAGATCACGCCGGTGGAAGCGTGGCATAGACTACACGATCATCCAGACTTTTGGAAGCTTGGTAGGGATCAGATTGAGAATTTGAAGCGAGAACTCAGCACAGCCGTCACGTGCTGCGGGTATGTTGGCCCTCCAGCCACAATCATAGCATCAACCACATTGCTTTTCTTTCTCCAGCCCGCATTTTAATTCCGGCTAGTACTGTTCCAGCTGACATGTCTCCTAGATTCGGCGCAGTACTGGATGAGAATGTATTCTGGAACGCTGTGAACCGATCCTTGGCTTCTAGTGCGGTTGCGTCTTATGCGAAGCAGAACTGAGGTTTTTTCCCGGACATTTACTGCATGCGTCTAGCGAGCAAAAAGGATCTAATGCAGAAGTCTACTAGCGTGCGTTTCTCATTTAGCGATAATAGTCACACGAGCCTAAAATTCCTGTTACCGATGGTCAATTGCAGCTCCATGAACCATCATTACATGATAATACGGCTTGCTCATCTCTTGTGGGTAGATGATTCGCAGCCCGCAACGGAGGAACAGACGCCGCAAACGTACCTGCAAGACCCTTCAATGGGGAGCCATGCCCACGATTGAACAACCTTTCGTTGAGGATACAGTCCGTCTCGCAACCTCCATCGCTTGAGCGAGTCTAATCCTTCTTGTCTGCAATCCCGTGTCCGGCGTCATTCCCCAAGATGCCGAAGTCTGCTAAGCCGCCAGTAGAGAGACTCAGTCCGCACATTCAAGCAAGATCCGGGACGTATCCGGATTGAGGTTGTTGTTGCTGTAATGGCACACAGGAGCTTGTCGATGTCCTCAACATGAGTGATCGTTTTCATGCCCAGAGAAGGTCGCCTTACGGTTTCCTTTGCAGAGGCTCAGCTTTTCAATGGGGATGTTGTCGGCCAACACGATCACTTCCTTGTTCGTTTTATTTTGATCACTAGTTGTGACTGTGGCTGTGGCTGTGGCGATTGCAGCATGTCTGAGCATACGATCGATGTCTAGGCGGCGCAACAAAATCCAAATCAACTTTCACATCGTGGCGGCTTTTGATAACGAATTGGGCAATCCGCAGGTGGTAAGACTTGGGCAAGCGAAAGGCTTCCTGCGGGCACGCAGCGGCTTGTTCGTCGTTCCTCAGCCTCTGGACGAGATTGTGAAGTTGCAAGCTTGATCTGGGACTGCAGATTGGATCACATAGGAAATGAGTCGTCACATGACTCAAGAATGATGGTGTGCTTAGCAATTCAGTCTAAAGAGTCACTGTGGGCAAAATCCCACCATCCCACTTTTTAAAAATTATGCAGTGCTCAAACCCCTTGCATGACCCGAGGAGTCGAGCAATAGGGCCATAATGACGTTTGTATGTCTGTATGGGTGATATCTTAGTCTTCCGAAGTCTTAACTATGTATCTTGACTGCTAGCCTAAGCCTAGACCCTAGAGTACATCATAAAGTACCTACACGGCGCTTCTCTCGAGGCTTGGGCCCGCTCATGCCGCCAACAACGACCTTGTGTCCCGTCACTTACCCTAATTACATTCAAGTGGTTATATGATTCTGGTGAAAAGATCGTCGATCCATGCCGAAAGCGACAAACCTGGAGATGGCAGCTGTGCTAAAGGAACTGGGAAGACCAGAAAGCGGACGTAGCACGTCGTCACAGACTCTTGGAAGCTTTCCCAGGCGACATCCTCATGAAGGTCTGCAACTATGCATTGCTTTTATTCCAGCCTGCAGAAGTCATAGCTACATCTGCATCATTAAGGGAGGAAACTGACTGCCTCTTCGGGCAGCGGATTGTCGCTGAAGGTGATCGGCACAAATCAAGGTGAACGTCAACCAGCAGCGGTATAGGCGACGTCCACTAATGAGAATGAGAGGCACCTCAATGGATGGAACCGACATAGAACACCTTCACTTCACCCAAGATGATACAGAATCCCCATTGAACGTGGAACTTCTACATTTCGGCGAGGTGGAGTCTACTCAGACCTTAAAGTGTGCTTCTATACTACAATACTTGGCTGGCTGGTTGGTACCAAGAGGCTACAAGGCAAAGTCATGCTTGTAATAAAGGAAGACCCCACATCTCCAGGGGGAATTGCAGTGATGAATCAGGGGCTAGGCGAATTCGCCGCCCGCGCAGTACAACAGTTTACAGAGAAGCAGAAATTTTCCTCGCGGAGAATATGGATCTCATCGCTGGTCAAGGGCAGACAATATGGCATCTTTCCCTTCCGGGCTTGTTCCCTGGACGGGATATGTCCCGTGTGCAACTCGACATGGGGAAAATTGCCGTCATCGCTGCCAACACGGCAGTCTCCTCGATAGGAAAGTTTCGGGTGTCAGACCTCGCTCTTGGACGATAAGGCTGCCCAATCATCGCCCCCATTGACTGGTCGCTCTTCAACCATCCCACAAAGAGCCATGCAGCACAGAAAATTGGTGGCATAGCCAATTTTTTAAGTTCTACCGATAGGAGATGTAGAGGGATGCTACGATTTCGATACGGGTCAGGCAATGTTTTCGTTGATTCTGCGGTCCGATACATTACAAAGGGGGAGCTCGAATCTAACAAAGTTCACGAAATGGGAGCAAAAGCAAAGGTTGGTCAAGCAATCGTAGATGAGATGTTACAACAGCCGTACTTCGTGCACGACGTCCCGAAGACGACAGGGAGGGAGACTTTCGGTGGCCGCATGGGTGAAGAGATATGTAAAAGCATGCTAAAGAAGGCGGCAAGCCCAGAGGATTGCGTATCACGGCATATTCATTACTTGAGCACTACCGGCGGTACGGCCCCAAACAATTGGGCGAGATTTGTATGGGCGGCGGTGGGAGCTACAACCCAAACATTGTTAACTACTTGAGGGAACAAACGCCGACTACTAGTATCACAACAATTAATGAGATTGGCATTCCCATCGGCGCAAAAGAAGCACTGAATTTTGCTTTCCTTGGGTTTGAAGGCTTCGTGGGGAGGCCTATCATCATCCCAAAGAACGCCAGAAAAGGGGCCATTGGGCAGACCGAGCCAGGAGACAACTACTTCCACATTTAACGACAATGTAATGCAATTCGGGGGAGATTACCCTGAGGAGCAGGTCAAGCGTACGACAAAGCTGGTAGTGATAAGGTAGCGAGATCAATGAACACAGGCAAGCTGTCTGAAGATGTCACCGCTCTTATGTCATCTCTTTTGGCGTTTGCCAACCCACTGATATCAAGCGCAAAAAAACTGACACTTGATATGTGGCGTTTCGCGCGAACAATGAATCCTCCTTCCATTGCTGAATCTTCCGCCTTCCTGGGACTCGTACCGCTGTAAAGGCCAATTCTAACGGCAACATTCCTTTAACCTACCTAGGAGACTATCTTTTCATCCTCAAGCTTGAGCTCAAGCGCTAAAGCTCTTCTTTCTGGTGCTTGCGACCTTCGATAGTATCTCGGAGAAATCTTCACGGGACCTAGGATCGGGTATGGGTACGGTGTGTGCTAAAGGTGCTGATCTCTGGTGGACAACGGGCACACGCTAAATTCAGTTACACATGGCATTACTCCGCAGGGATTCGGCTTTGTCATGACACGATCCATCATGTAGCAAGGGGTATATGTGCGAAAGCTGATTTGCAGAACATGGATCATCTGCGCGCGTGTGACCGCAGGGGTAGGAGTTGCCCATATGAACGCAATAGTAGCAACCCGGGTCTCCGAAGTGTCTGAACTCTGAAGCCGCGCATCGCGGTTGCTCATTCTCTGTGGTCTACTCGGCAAACTATACAGGGATAGCCTTTTCTTACAGGCTCTCCTGTGGTCTGAGCTCCATAGTCGGTGGCATGTGGCCCCATACGCTGGCGTCTACCATTCGCTATCAATGGCATCTTTCCGCTATTTCTCTTCTCCCTGCTACCGGTCCTCCCGGAGTTCTGCGAAAAAGAGATCAAGGAGCTCGAAACCCTTTCGGCTGAGATCAAAAGATCTTTCGGTCATCAGCATAAGGTGCGAAGGACATGGGCCTCGATGAGGTTTGTTGTAAAGAAGCAAGACTTGGAGGATATCCGATGTCGGCTCACAGACGCGAAAATGGACTTGCAGTTCGCGATATCGAGTAACTCGTGGCAGTTACAGTATAGACCGACGCGCTTTGGGTGGTAGATATTCGCTGACAAAGACACAGATCATATCAAATACAAAGCTTCAGAGAGGACGAGGTAACTAACGCCACGATTTCAACTTTGCTCAAAGGTATCGTGGAGGATGAACAGTTCCAACCGAGCGAAAAGTGCAATTTCCGCCCTTCCAGTCTGCAGAAAGCTTGTTCCCTTGTCTCTATAAAGACCCTAGTACCTTGGTACCATGGAGTACTCGGAACTGTGACCGTGCGAAAGAAAACGAAGTACAGCACGAGTCCGCGTGCTGTAGGAAGACCTGCCATCACCAGCTTGAATTGCAATACATGCAGAGCTTTAGCCATATATCCAGAACTTTGAACGTCTATCCCGTGCTTTCCCACACTGAGGAGGTATCCTCAATGTGCGTGCACGGAGAGGTAGAGAGCCTCCAGGACCTCTTCAGCAAGAAAATAGTGTCACCGTTTGCGTCGGACGAATGTAGTTGGACTTTACTTCATGTTGGTGCACTTTCTATCTCTTTCTGAATGGTTCCTTATTGACTGAGATTAGTTTGCCGCTTACGGCTTTCAGCCAGGCGTGTGCGCCTTGCTTCTCCAGCTCGGTGTCGATCCAGAACGTGTATCTTTTGGCGGACAGTGAGTGGATAGCGCCTGATCGTCACCTCATTGCTGAAACATGAACACAGAAAAGCCATAATAGGAATGGGTGCATGTGGTAATTTCGTCCTTGCTGATAGAGAACAGTTCCCAATTTCCAAGGGGACTTTGATAGAAACATTCAGAACCCTCGCTCAGTCACAGGGTAGTCTTTCTGCTAGTGATATATCTGATATTCTATTACATTATGTAGGCCCACCTGAATCAGCAGAATTCATGTTATCACGGGACTTTCTTCCGTTTGGGGCCTCCGAGCCTACCAACGACGTAATCACCTATCCTCCTTTAGCTATGGCTTTGCGGCTTTATGCTGTCGCATACCTAGCAGAGTACAAATACGAAGTTCTGCACGACGCAGAAGTTTGGCACGACGCAGAAAAGGAGCAGTGGGAATCTCTGATCATAAGACTCCTTCGCACTGGAGCAAATCTTCATGCACCTGTGCCACATTTCGTTGAAATGCGTAATGAAAGTGATGTCTCATACGAAGTCACGAAATATGGAACACCACTTGATGAAATGTTCACGTTCACCGACACGCCGGCTGAAGCGAGAGCTGTGGCGAACGGGTGGCTTCAAATCCTTCGAAGCGAAGGCTACGATGTTGTCGCATACATCGAAAAAGAAAGTGATCTGCATTACACACGATCGCAAACGACCTTTCCCTTGCTTCAACGTCACGAAGAACATGACAGTCCTCGTGAGTTGATATTCGAATTGGAGCAGGAGAAGCAAAGCATATACTGGGATTGGTGGACTGATCCTTCATCTTCCATTTACCTCTTACGCAGCACGTTGAAGCCAATGCTCATGCTCTCTCGTTCTTTCATTACGTACCACATGTCGTCGGAAGTAACATGGCCTTTCCATTACCCAAAGTGGTATGGATATTGCCATCCAACACGGGAAGACGAAGAGGCCGTGCAGCAGCAGCTTTATGATATGGCTCAGCGACGAGCGAATCGGCGGTTACAGAAGCGACATGCCAAAGAGTCACGTTCTCGAGGTCTGAAATATCCAAGCATGCCTGGTGCTTGGCAGAATTGAATGGTAGAAGGTCAAGGTACTGCTCAACATTCCAGCATGAAAGCGGAGTTGAAGATCATACCCAGAGCCCAAACATACATGTCTGTTCAACATTCGAGTACAATCTTGGGACGACGGAGGGGATTTCGTACAATACAGATCAAAAGCACGGCCAATATATGAAAGCCACGTGACCATTTTGAGTCTTAGCATTGACCAAGTCAAGAATGTCGCTACGACACCCTTCACATCATCGGGCTTTGGGCGGGAGAACTAACAAGTCTTCTGATTAGTTGGCTGCGAGGATGTGTGAATCTGGCATTGTTTTCGTGGTACTGTTTAGCCTTCGAAGGCCCTTCCGATGTCTTATGCGCGTAAAACTTCGTCCGTACCTCTCGATAGATGGTCTGTTGCAGCGTTCGTGCCAGTCTCTAGTATTTGTTCGCAGGGCAGGAACAGCATTGCTTACGAGACAGCTGGCCTTTCGTGTCAATATTCGTGAGAAGATTGAATGTGTTGTGAGCTACGTTTCACTAAGCTCAAATCAATTTGGCATTTGCTCTTCATTTCGACAAAGTTTGTTGAGAATCCAGACATCAAGTATAGGGTTGTTTGAAACTTACCAAGGCTGGCGTTCATGTAGTAGGTCAGTCACGTGAAAAGTCGCCCGAAGTTTCGCCTAGCGCCTAGGGGGATTATTTTCCTCCAACATCAGCCCCGAGTTCAATCTACTCGACTCATCCCTACTCCGGGTTAAAGAACCTGTGAAACTCTTACCCTCTCTCTGTTCGACCGGACCATGACCTGAGTGCAAGGCTGGAACAATATTTCTGGCTTCTCTATGGATTAAGTGATTGTTCCCTAGTACCAACAAACCTTGGCCAGGCTAGAAGAGCATTAGTGGACATGAGCTGAAGAAGCAAAACTCCCCCATTTCCAACGCACAACCGTCCCAGTAAAATAATTCATCTCTATCGCTTTGCAACCGCTTCGTGCATTTACCTTTTCTCGAAAAGATGCCTGATCTACTAACCCTACCGGAGGAATTACTCTGCAAAATCTCGGGCTTCGTCCACCCCCAAACTGTGATTGAATGGGCATGCACCTGCAAGGTTCTCTCGCGTTGTTCCTTACAGGCTTTGAAAACCCACAAACAGCGTCGATCAGAGCTTCGTGTGGTCCACGATCGCAATCCGATTACCGTTCCATCGTTATTGCGCGATAGTCTTTCCGAGCCGGAAATCTTATGGTACGTTCGGTCCTTGGACATCTGGGATTTGAGAGAGAATTTTGAAGAATGGATGAGCCCAGATTTTGTAGAGGAGAATCCTCATGTGGAACTTGATGACTGGAATGCCAAGGAGTCCTTGACTTGGCCGGGAGAATACCATGATCCCTCGCATCTTGACACTACGTTCTACACCGATGAGGAGCTTGAGCGCTACCGGACCATGCTTTCCAAAATGTTGCACCTCAGAGAGCCTTTGGTAGACAAATGGATGGAACGACTGCGATCCGGAAGTGATGAGCCTCAGAAAGTGCTCCTAATGGCCATGTCACCAAGACTGAGCCAAGCCACATTCGTAAACGAAGACGACAGCTGGCAAGCCGGAGAAAAGAGCCACCCTTTTAGGTTGCTGGCGTCTTCGCTCCGAGCACTAGCACCACTACCATGCCCCGAGTGGCCATGTTTCCAAAATTTAAAGATAGTCTTTGTCGGGCAATATACTACGCTAAGGCACTCGTTTGATGCCTATCACCCACATTCGCGTGTCATCGCACCCCTGTTCCTACTACCTGCCATTGAGGAGTTACACCTCAACTTGTTGTTGGGAGAGGAAAATGATGCGGAATCTGACTTAGAGAACGATGAAGAAGATGGCAAAGACTCTGTGCCATATGTCTGGGAATGGGAAATAGGCCGGTCATCCTGCCAGAAGCTGGCTTGTAAGTCGTTCAAATTTCCTCGGCTCATAGACTGAGAGCCAAACGCTAAATCTAATATCCAAAAGTCGACTGCTGTGAGCTCGCCACGGAAACAATTGCCAGCTTCATCGGCGCAACGCACTCCTTGCGCTCTCTCAACGGGGTGATCAGCGACGATGAGATCATCTCAGCCCTCCTAGAGCATTCGAAACACAGTCTCGAAACCGTGAACTTTGACCAGCAGAACCTGCTGCCGACGCCCGATGCTGTTCCACAGCAATCGTTACAGACTTTCCAAAAACTCGCAAGCATTGCGCTTTCTACAACCCAGCTTGTAGACATATCCACATACAAGCCATCGCAGATTGAATACACTGTGGATCATGGCATTGACATGGAGAAGAGTGCGTTCGGTACTACAGATTGGGTTGATCTACTGACTTTTCTTCCACCGTAAGCACCCTTCCGACATCCCTTCCCCATCAATGCAACACCAGCTTGAGCCTTGAGACCTGAACTGGGATCAAGACCATTTCGACTACTCCTACGACTCAAAAACTGCGATGGAATATACAATTAACCCCCCCATTCTTCAGGACGCTGCAAACACTAAAGATCTACCAAAAACGCACCCGCCTATTCGGGCACGAGATCGAAAGCCTCATGGACCACTTAGTGGCCCTAGTCAAAGCCAAGCGGTCTCCATCCAATGGCGCCTTTGGCGCTCTAACTGAAATCTGCCTCGCAAATCTATTGGTGAAATCAGCAAATCCTCGCCGGGTATACGAACCGAACGGGCTCGATCCGTGGCTCGGGGCCTTGAAGCGGGTGTGTGAGGAGGCGGAAGTGAAGATTCACACCAAAGCGAGGACGACGTGGATAGAGGGGTCGTCTGGGGATTCCTACCCCTGCAGCTCTTGCCGGCTCGATGAGATGGGGCAGTCTTGACTATGCTCTTGTGGTACCGGAGGCGGAGGGAGAAAATTAGAGCAGTAGACGGCGAGTTCGCTCCCGGTACTAGTACATTGATTGGTATTCTGGCTCTACAATGATCATTATGGCATCAATTTTTGAGATTATCGTCGCTTTCCCAGGTGGATACCAAAGTGCCGATGTGAAAATTCACTATTTCTTCTGGATATGGGTCAAGTAAAGTTGCATACTCAGGGACAGTCACGATTGGTGCAAGGAAATGTAGCATTCTTCTCATCGAGAAAACCTTTGAGCAAAGCAACATATCCTGCCCAGCCAAACCATGCTCGCAGGAACGCGGCCCGAGACCTCCTACCCTCAATCCAAGCTCCCTGTTCCACAAAAGCGGCATGTTCTCCTGACGACCTGTTCCTTCGCCCATTCGCCCCGGGCCTCTAGCCTGAGAAGCGAAACTGCGTGTTGGGCGTATCCTTCCTAAACCAGCGAGCACAATTTCGTCAAGAGAAGTCAATTTGGATGAAGACAGAAGAAAGACGGTCCATCCTAGTCTCCGCATTGCCCCACTACCTCCCCCGTTCCCCTGCCTCCTTCCCTTTGGTATCAGCATCCGGTAGGCATCCTGAATGCAGTCCGCCAACCGCGTTACCACTCCATTGCCTCAGCAGCTTCACCATCTGGAAGTCAAGAGCCTGATGAATTCATCCACCTGCAGTCACGGGAGAGTGAGACGGCCTTGTCGCTAGACAATACTGCACACATGAATCGCTTTTGTTGTAAGCTCTTAGCAGTGGAGCTGAGGCGGCTTCGACTCGATACCGGAGAGCTAGCTGTGCGTGAAAAGGCACGTGTGGGATGCATTGACGAGTATGTGGAAGTCACAGCCGGGGTGAGAGATACGGTATGAATTCGGTTTCTCTTCAGGCACAGTGGGCTAGAGAAAGGATTTACGTACCCCCAGACGAGAAGATGTCTTGTCGACCACTGCAGTGAGCCCAGTAAGCTGCATCTGAATCTTCCTTCCCGATACTGCGAGTCTATTGACGGTGTGGTGGCATAGGTTGGCGCACGATCCGTTGTGGGTAACTCATACCCAGTTGTGCGGACGGATCTCTCTGCAGGAGAGCCTTTCGCGCGCAATAGTCAGCAAAGTCAGAGGTGCTGCGCTCGAATCCATTTGGAGACTGGCTTTACACAGCCCCGGAAATCTCGAGTATCTCGAGCGTCATCTTCATCGAAGGCTTCGTCGTTCTCAGAGCCGAAATCCGGGGAAATTCCGTTCCCGTCACGACTCGCGGAGTCGGATAGGTTTTCGTCGTCGCTTGCATCGGGGTAAGAATTCGGTTGAAGAGTTGAATCGATTTCAAGTACATCGGAGAACCTCGGATGGTTTGGAGTAGAAGCTGGGTTGCTCCTGGGGCCCGATGTATTGCTTGGAAGTTTCTTCTGGAGCGTTCGAAGGAACAACGGCTGTGTCTGACGAGAGGAGGCATGTGCGGTTGCTGGTCTGGTTCTTCCGAAGCTGTTTGAGGGTTTGAACGCGTTCTTCCATGGCATTGCGCAGCAAGGTTATTCCTTGCTTGCATTGCCGTGTTGATGACAGTACGGAAAATGACCAGCGGAACTCTACTCTACTTGAAAGAAGAAGGGAAATTGCAACATGCGGAGCTGAAACGTGCAAGATTACGAAACCAAGGGACAAATCTCTGAGGATCCAATGACACATCGGGTGGCCCGAAACCATTTGAAGAATTAGACATAATGACCGCTGCCGACGTCTTGGTTCGTGATGGCGTAGGCCGAGGCATAGACTTGAATCTCGTTCGCAAGGCTCAGTGTGAATGATATCGATAAAGAACCTCCACCAATTGGACCTGTGGCGAGTCGCAGGGGTGGCTTTGATGGTACGGAAGTCGAGGACGTCTTTGGCACTGCAGCGTGCCTTATACTTAAGTTTCACTTCGTGAGTCGTGAAACTACAGTCTCTACCGCCCATGTGAACTCAGAGAAGTAAAAGTTATGTTTATTATTGATGTTTCGCGTCCCAAAGAGACTATCTTCTCTACCATCGACCAGGACGTAGAACTTGGCCTACGTTACAGGCTCCATCCCCCTGCGAGTTTGTCTTGCATCGGCATTGTTGCTTTTAAAATGAGATCTTTCTCCTATCTGGCTCCGTCTCCGATAGTAGACCGACGAACAGCAAAGCAAATTTGAGACGGTCTTATAAACGCTCACCATACTAATACGCAGCACCGAATAGTTTGATGGTATGGGTGGAGTTAGGAGGAGAAGTATACGAAACAGAGGCCGCGGTCTCTGATGGGACCTTTGAGGACCTAGATATCTTGTCCATGAAGTTTTAAGGCGAGGAGAATAATGTAGATGACCAGGATGCAGGTGAGATGATGAGAATAAATATTACCAGAACACAGATGGCGAGAATATAGGTGACCAAAATTTAGGTGACGAGAATTTAGGTGAGGTTCACGTGCGAGCGCACGCCCGCAACGCGAGCAAAAGGGGCCTTAGCACATGTCAGCGCAATCTCTCAGTTGCCTGGCATCTCTTCCACTCACGAGAGGAGACGGGAACAGCGGCGGGAGGAGCTGTCAAGCCTTCTTAGCCAAGCACGTCTTCAGAACAGATGTGAATGCCTACCAGCAACAGCGGGGGCAACAGGAACCACGACAGCCACAAGTACTTGGTGGCCCGCAGGGCCACGAGAACGAAGGTTGGATGCCACTGTCAACATGTCAGCATGCTCCTTATGCTGTCCAGAAAGCATCGCAAAGCATCCTTCAAGGTGCTTGTTGTGTGTGAAGTTGATCTGAGCGACTTCAACCTCACTCAACTGTCACCTCAACCGATGCATGTGCCATGCTGTTGCGATGATGCGCAGCTCGCTGTCGCGATACTGCGATGGGAACGGACGAAGGCAAGATAGCAGACATGAAGAAGGACTGAGCACTTACTTGTGATGGTGTTGATGTTGGTGTTGTTGCTAAGAAGAACAAAAGTCAGACTGGAAGTGAGGCTTTGTACCCACTAGCGCGACGGAGAATGTGGGTGACGAGTTTCTAAGCGATGAAGGGAAGATGCTGGTCATCAAGGAGGTCCTTCGTAGCATCGCCCGCGCGAAATTGTAAGGAGCAAGTCAGGACGAGTTTGGCATCGGCCATTATGTTTACCAACGCGACGCCAACCCGGTTGCGTTGGTCGCGCGGGCTTTTCGGTAGGCCTCCCTTGTTTGACGAAGTTATCAACAACTGTGCTGATACGCACTGACAGAAGGGGCAAAAATGGGTATCAAACATGTATACGAACGTCATCTACCATGCCATATTCCTTGCGCCAGAGTCCCACCACAGCGTTCTTCGAAAAGTTCAAATGAGCCGGGGTTCAATTAACACTTCGGAATAAACAAACATTGAAGTGGCAGCCGCAAGGGAGCAGATCTTTCATCGCGGTACCCCATCACCAGCCATGGGCGGCTCATCAGGCGTCGGCTTTCCCAAACGTTCGGAAACTATCCAGGCTTGCACGGGAGACACTTGTAGATTTGTCCGGACCAGAGTTTCGAACTTTTCGAAAAGTCAGTTCGGATTCTTCGAACCTGCTTGGGAGAAAATTGAAACTCACCGGAAGCGACACTATGCGGTGTGGTGGCGACACACTCAACGCCCGCGCGGTAAGTAACCTGACCCCGGGGACCCGCTTGTTCATATTCGAAGCTTTTTCATCTTCTTTCCCACCCTTTCAATGTCGACATCAAGAAGCTTTCTCTTATCCTTGTCCGCTCCAATTTCCGCAAAGGCTCTTTTGCTGCTAGCTCGCTCTGGGATATCAAACATCTGAGATATCTCAAGCCTGCGGACGATGCTGTCGTGTGAGAGTAAATCCGGTTGCTCGTCCGAGGACTCGTGCAGGAGGGGGATCAACTGAAGAAGGGTACGTTAGGGGACAAGGCCGTCAGCTTATGGTGTGCTGGCTGACCTGGGGTAAGGGAGAATCGCCTTCATAGCGAACGCGACTCCCTCGAGGTGTGCGGTCCATCGTGAATGTTTGACTGCTACAGGTGAGTAGACAGCAAGGGTCGTGGAGTGAGGCTGTTCTACCGTGGTTATTATTCTGTGAAGCTCGAATTGATCCCTTCGTTTGCATCCTATGAATTGAGCCGTCCTGCTGCTCAGGGTACTCAACGAGAATTTGAGTTGCTCTGAATGATACCCTTCAAACGAAAGCCACTGTAAAGAAAAATGAATAGAAATATCATCAATGATCGTTGGGAGAATCTACTAGGCTTTTGCATGCCTCATCGATCTCTGTAAGTCTTTCTGTTGCGCTCTCGAATGCACGGGACAGGTCCGTCATTCTTCCTAGGCGATGCTGCTAGACATCGTACTAGTCGAGCCCACATACTCGTATACATCACCTTCCTGTGCATAGTTCCACCAAGCCCAAAATACCGTCCACAAGAAAGTAAGAACAAACGCGACAATCGGCCCAATGCCCATGTCGAGGATTGCATTCGAGGTTTTGCGCTGATTGCTATGCGTGATATCTTCTGCGACCATCAGGGAAAATTTAATTCGTCGAGTATCTGTTGAATACCTCTGGGTAGCACACCGGTCTGAGTACTTCGTGTTCCGCTCAGGCGCCGGTCTATTTGTCGCTCGATCCTGTAATTGGCGGTGGTGGTGGTGGTTCCAATTTTGCTTTGTGCCTGCTTACCACTGCAATGCCGTTCGATCCAGCGGTTCATTCGAGGCTTGTTTGGACAGACTGAAGAAACTTAGAGTCTGCAGGCAGTCTCTGTGTGAGGGAAAACAACGCAAGTGTCACAAGTGGAAACCGTCACTCAATTGCTTGAAGCGTTTCCGCTCGCAAGGAGCAAGGTTGGCGAGGATTCGAGACCGAAGCCCCTTAGCCATGAATTGTTGCGCCATTGTTTTGTGACATCTTAAGGGTCTGCGGTGTCTATGACGAAAGTAGTCTGCAACTCCAAAACAAAACGAAGTGCCTCTCATTGTCATTGCTGACCTCCAATTGTAATAGGGTGAGATGATGTGAAGTAAAGGCCCTGCTCCGTTCTCGAATCGCGTCCATTGACGACATTGTCTGACCTACAACTAGCGAGATTCGTGAAATGCCATGTTGGAGAAGATGAGGTGTGCTAGACTGATGTGGTCTTTCTTCAGGGAAGGGTACAGCAATCAAATTCTGCAGGAACTGTGGATCAGCTATTGCTAGCGGCCGTTTATGTTGTAGATGTTGTAGATGTTGAGATTGCAATTGAAAACTTATACGTCAATGTGACGTTCGAACAACTTTATATCTTGTGAAATAACCAAAAGATCATAAAGACGATTGTGTATTAGAGAATTCCATGAGGGCAGGCATGATCAATAGCAGACCTCATCAATAGATGTTCGGGAACACCATGATTTGTAGGCGGGTGGAGTCACAAGTAAATTGTCACCATTGCGGTCAGTGCTAACAGACTTTCGTCTAACACTACCAAGGTATTCTGTTGATGATCCTCTCGGGGTTGCTGAAAGAAAGAAAACTTACAGTCTTTGGGAAGTGCGACTCATCCCTATGCCGCTGAGATTGTGCTGGGAGAATGCTGACATTGTTTGCGAAATGCTGATGGAGGTATGGAAGTTTGTAAGAAGAATTTATGAACACAATCTCTGTTAGGATGGAAGCTTCGGGGATGCAAAGAGGCATGGTGAATTCCATGTTCTTCCCATACCACTTGCACCGCTAAAAGCCGAACAACCTTTGCCAGATTTACCATTAAACGCCCTTGCGTCGGTAGATAATGGCCGCGAGCAAGATAATCTTTGAGGTGACAGACATTGCATGACACGTATTTGTAATGACTTTCGTAATGCTCCACCGCGAATCTGCAGAATGGCACTTCGACCACAGATTTGAGTTCATCGAGCATTTCATGAAACGTTCGGTAATGGCCCACAAGATGTCGTGGGGACGAAAGCGATGATAGTGGATGGAGCAAAGTATCTGAGAGGATTTGCCATTTGCTGAGATGGTCTCGATGTAGTCACATTGATCTGGCGTATAGCGGATCGTGGCAGTCGGAGTTGAACGCGAGGAGAGAACGAGAGGAGCTCTAGACGGCCTTGGCTTAGTCCCTATCACTGTATGATTGTTAGCATTCACAAAGGCCGTGGGGGCCAGGAGGTACAAACGTGCGGGGGGAAGGTTGACTTGACATTGACAGGTGAGGTGTGGGAATTCCCTTCGTAGAGGTTTGTACGTACGCCAACCTCGCGGTCTTATAGCACCAACAGGCAGTAGAATCTTGTTACCAATGCTTGGGGTTGAAAGAGCTTGTAAGGATGCAAAAATTATAATTCTGGACGAAGACATGCACAGAAGACGGAATCAACTCTTGGGGAAGTGATGGGTTAAGTATTTTGTGCAGACAGGTTCAAGTACTCTCGGCTGAGCTTCGTCACTAGAGGCGTCCAGCTTTCCCATCCCATGCGTGAAAAAGCTCGTAGTCAGGAAGTCAGCTTTGGAAGGTAGAGCCATTCGCTGCTTCATCAGAGCTGGTGAAAATATGTATATGTAGGGTAGTGGCCTTCAAGAATGACATAATAGCAGAGCTGTTTGATCTTGAGATTGACCGACATGACAATTGTGGATGGCATGTTTCTGGTGCGGTATCTGTGCTGGATGTGAAAAGGATTGAGGCACCAGAAAGGATCCCCGTTGATGCAATGGATCTCACGACTTTGGTTAGCACCTTCCCTCAATCTTCAATCTTGCCTAATATATCGTAGAAATCCTGCAACTCATGGCGCTCACTCTGCGCGTTGTGCTGCTCGATTCCGCCATGAAAACGTAATTGCAGAGGAATTTTACTCAACATCAAGCTCAACTAACAATGAAGATACAAATTAGTGGCCTCTTGTTTGGCATAATGAGCTGATGAGTAGAGTGAAACTGCCAGAGAAGTTTGAATTAGTCACGAGAGAGATGTCAAAGTATTCAGGGTTTTCAACCGCCGGTTGATGAACAAGGCCAACATGAGACAGGTATAGGAGGTAAATTTAGATGGCAGATGGGAAAAGTAGAGAGCAGTACTGTGGATAGTGCGATGACATAGGGGCTTGTTCGGTAGGGAGACAGAAAGCCTTGTTGCACCCAGGTACATGCGGATCCACCAATAGATCATGTGTCAAGGTCGATAGCATTTTCATTGTCCAAATAGGATGCTGTGGTTCAAGAAAGGGAAGAAGGTTGGAACATGCGTGGGGGGTAACTCGCCGGTGAATGAAGCAAGCGTTCCAAGCCACCAGAGACCGGACAGATTTCCCGACAAAACATGCCGCAGTGAAGTAGTGAAGACCGCTGAGCTGGACAAAATAAAGGTTATTAAACAAAATCCAAGCCGAAGAAATTTACAAGGTCCCCAACTGACTTTTCAAAATAACTGGAACTAGGACAAATCCAGAACAGCTTGTCGATATAGTCATACCGCCCTTTACCAAGAAAATCTCGCACATCATTGCATGGGCCAGCTACCGAAGTCAGGCATGTTATTGAGATAATCCATCTGGTTGAACACCTCCACGTTCGAGGTTTCGCTGTCTTGATAATTCTGGGTCTGGTCAGCCTGTATCAGATGCGTGAATAGATTCGGGTGGAGATCCATTGGGAAGTCGAAGGCCATATCATTCCAAGACGGTTGCAAGGAGTAATTCGCATCAGAGTAGCCGTTAGATGATTGGAACTGATTGGGCCACGCGGTAGTGTCCATGGTAGGATTCTTGCTAAAATCGTTGCGAAAGTTAAATTTTTCTGTGTATTGTGAAGGGTCTCCTCGTGTCAATTCCGTTGGTCTAGAAAGCTCAAAGCCTGCAGCCGACCGTATTTCCTCATTTGCTGGCCTGTGTGGCCTCCCTTGTTGGTGGAACCACACCCTGACTTTGGTCAATATTTGGAGGAATTTGGCCCCAAGAGTGTGTATATTTTGGTCGTCCAGGGTGGCCACCGCCCTAAGATGAATAAGAAGCTGCTCGAGGTAGAGTGAGACCTTGATATCCTCGGATTTCAGCACTTTTCCGAGCTCGGTTGTACTTGTACTGACGGATAGTTTGATAAGAATGACGACAGCGTAGACTACGCGGACGTAGACGAGCGTTGGGGTTGCGCGGATCTGTTGGACGCTGTAGAAGATACCGAGCTCAGTAAACCTTCGAGAAAATTTCTGTTTTACTAGGAGTTCCTGGGTAGCGATACAATTTCTTTGGTCGCGAAATATGTTTTACGACCCAGAAAATAGTAACAATCAAGGATCAAAGTGCTTCGAATGTTACGTACCTTATGTTCAAAAAGGTCTTTATCAAGGCATCTGATGAAGAGATACATTGAATGATCGCATTGATATACGGTGGAGTCGGAGTTCCTGTTGGGGTGTGTGGCATGGAATCATTCACCGCTACAGAAAATGGTGGTTTAAAGTCTTCGGCGTCGTGATCAGGGTGAAGGGCAATTTCATGCAGGTAAATGTTATTAGCGTGGTAGGTGATCTCCAGGAAAGCTGAACGAGCGTTAGCACCAATTCTTGGAAGCCAATGTGGGGGACGACTAACGGTTCATGATGTTGTCATTGCTAACAGCATGTTGCCTCCATGCTTCCAATTGCTTCTCATAGCTCTGAAGCATGAGCTGAGCGCGCTCATCTGCCAAGCTGACCGTATCATCAGGGCTGTCTAATGCGAAATTTGTTCCGCACTCCTCAACGAGACGTTGTAGCTGGACCCATGCCACAAATCGCTTGTCAGTAGGCGCAGCGTCTGGGGATGTTCTCAGGACTTCAGAGCAATCCGCCATCCAAGAAGAATAACGCATGAAGTTTGGAAGGCGCAGACTCATAGATACCGAAGCACAGAACAGGTAACACGCCAACAATGCTCGGCGGCAGTCTAAGGAACCACTATCCGGCAAATGCTTCTTCGGGGACATCACATGGTTTGCAGACTCTGTATCATAAGAAACATCGAAAGGCTGCCCGCCGGGAAATCTCGTTGGCAGGCTCGTGGACCCTTGATCCTCCGCCAAATCGGGATTGTCCCCGGCAGAGAGCACTTTGGAGGGTTGCTGCCCCATCGAGTTCCCCTTTGGCTTGTTAGCGAGCCCCAAATCCAATGCCATCGTAGCTGCCATGTGTATCTGTTGATGGAACTTCAGGTCCTCAAACTTGTCTGGAGGGTAAGTCCAGAGAATCGAAACCAAAAGAGACTGTACCAGCTCGAGCGACTTGAGACCCTGGATTGACACTTTCGTGGCATATACCCTTTGGATCTCCTGGTTCAGTCTACGATTCAAGGACGGATCTGATGATCCTGAACCTGCCGCCAGGACAGCCAAGAAGAGGATAGGTTTTTTCGATCTAAGCTCGGCCACATTGTAGCTTAGTGGAACTGCCGGATATTGTGGCAGAAGTACATCGAGATATGTTTGATACAACTCCGTAGCCTTGGCCATGTTCAGTATGCCACGATCGATTACGTCCGGCAGAATCGATATTGACTTGGGAACTTCCGTGTTCTGTTCCCAGACCTGGTGGGACGAGGCGGGGTTCTGCGGTAGTCCTTGCTGTTTGCCATGGCTCACGCACGTATCGTCTTTGGTAGCTGCTCCTGGACTGAGACTGCTGTTCGAGAATGAACGGACCCTTCCGATGTCGCTATTCATCCCGTGAGTATCGACGATCTCGTCCTCTTTCTCGAAACTTGACGGTGTGGAGCTACTCCTCCCGTGTTCCAAAAGGAAGCTCATCTCCGCAACCCGTTGTTCAAGCTCCTTTACCCTTGTATCCGTTCTTTTTCGGCGGCGGGTCTTGCTGTGCGTAGTGTAAACCTATAAAGTCATTAGCTTCTGCACTTCCCCAAGGCTGTCGCGTTTCGACATGAGCAGTACGGTATTGGATTGGTAGGGATCGTACACATTCTCTGCTTGCTCTCGCACAACGTTGGCATTTCGAGGACCTCGAATCCTCATTGGCAAGACATCGCACTTTCCTTAGCCGGCAGGCATCACAAGCTCCAATGGTACCCGGTTGGCTCTTCCCTCGCGTGACGATTGCTTCATGTTCGACTTCCTGATGCCCTGGTATCGTAGGCACCGCTGGTGCACTTTGCGGAGAGTCAAAAGTTGCCTCCATTGCTGCTGTCAGTGTGGTGTTGGGAGGACGGTGTGAGCATCAGCTATGTAGTGGTGGGATGCCGCCATAAGCTAAGGTACACACTCTCGCACTATGCCGTTCCAAGAAATACAGTTGTAATCGACCTCCCACACTCCCGCACATGGTCGGGTTGCCTCAGTCCCTTAGACCAGCCTAGCCCGTCACTAAGCCCCTTCGGATCAGAAAAACCGAAATTTGTTTAGATCGAGTATCGATTTTTGAGTGTTATACGATGAAATATATTAATAGCTAGCTTCTATTTTCTATTAATAAAAAATCTATATATATAATACTTTAAAGCTTATTTTAAAATTTAATAGTATTAAAATTAAATATTATATATAAGTATTCGATATCGTTATATATATAAATCTATTAAATCTATTAAGATCTTAATATTATTTTCTAGAGATTAAAAAGATATAATATAAAATAAAATATAAATTTCGATACCTTTTTAAAATATTATCTTATAAAATTTTAATCTTACTCGACTAGTTTAATTAAAATGAATTATTATATTTTTTTTAAAAAATATAAATTAAACGTTAAATAGTATTAAAACTAAGTTAAAAAAAGATTAAAAACTCGTAAGTAAAGATTTTTTTTAAAGAAAACTTATATATATATTTTTAATTTCTTATATACGTTAAATATATCTTATAAAGATTATATATTAAATTTAAAATAGTTTAATATAAATAATATAACAATCGACGGCAAAAATAAGATAAATTAATTATAATTTAGGAATCTACGCTTAGGTGTGCTATCTGAAGATTTCATACCTTAGCGTGCTTAGATAGTAAGCAAAAGGGTCTTAGCTACGGTTAGCGAAGAATGAAGCTTAGCACGCTCTAAGGGAATGAGGCAAACGTGAGGCTGACGGCTAGAGTAGCACGCGGACTCTAATCTGTGGTGCAACTGCTCATATTGGCAACGGCTAGCGAAGCGCCGAAGGATTCACGTGTCATCCGGGCAAACTCGACGTGGAGAAGTTGGGCAAAGCGAGGTGTGGTGGGTGGGTGGACCCTCCGGGCGCTTCCGGCTGAGCTTGTGTACAGATAGATCGTTGTCATTGCTACAGCATGCTTGTTACGACGGCCAAAAAGCTCATAGCCCCCAGCAACACCTCCACTCCGCCCCCTTGGCCCCTCGTCCGCTTCCCGCCCTCGTTGATGATGACATAACAGCCCACGGTTCGTGTGGGGGCACCAACGTTCGCCTCTACTATGGTTTTGTATCCCGTTGAACAACTGCCCGAGCTCGTCACCTCCGCCTCTTGTCCTGCTGCCGCTGTTGTAGTCGTCGTGTAGGGAGAGTATACTGATGTGGTGGGGCTGTAGTAACTCGTTGTCGTTGGAGAGTAGTAAGACTCGACAGTCGTCTCTGTCACGGGGACAATTGGGACGACGTTCGGCGCGGTCGACGATTCGCAATTGCAGTTCTGACTGGCACTTTCGTAGACGGTCGTGGTTTGCTCCGCTTGACTCCATGTTGATGATGACGAGGTATAATATTGCCCTGCAGCGCCTGCATTGGAGCTGTATGCGCTACCCTGACAGTTGTACCCAGACGCGCAACACGCGACTTTCCCTGCATCGTCCCAGGCGCATGATTGACCAGAATTGCAGCAGTATTGCGATTGGCCCATGTTGGAGCAGGATGTTTGGTAGGAGGCGACAGGAGCGCCATTGAGGTAGATTGCTGTGAAGAAGCTTCCAACGCTATTTTGGGCCGAGGTCAAGCAGTAGTGGAGAGAGAGCAAGAAGAGGACGCATGGAAGGTAGACTGGAGTCACCATCTTGGCAGTGTGAAGGGCAAAGCCTGCATTCGGAAAGTCATTGATGGACAAGTCTGACCGCTGCTTTCGAAGGGGAATGTGGAGGTTTGTGAATAGAGAGCATATCTAGCGTCATTGGGCAATAATGTGGGAAGGAGAGTGATAGACTTTCTGGACTAGCATTCGAGCTCTCCCAATAATCAGTGGAAGTTGCGAGATTGGAATCTTGGAAGCTGACATTATTAGAGTATTATCAGTCTGCCAGGAAGCCACGCGGAAGGGTGATTGGAGAAGTGGGGCCCTCGGGTCTAGACCGAAAATCATTATATCATTATCCCTCTTCAGCCTTATCGTAACCCTAATCAATCTGTTGGTGGTCTGCTTCCCAGCCTCCTCCAAATCGAAGCATGGGTCATGGCGTCAGCAGAGGAAGCTGATAGGACTATAGATGAGAGCCAATTGTAACGCTGCATGTTTCATGGATGCTTTTACAAGTATGGAGGATTGAGGGAAGAACACCCGGGGTATAGTTGTCTCATGATTGTTGAGAGCTGAACCTTTGGCATATTGGACGGCTTGATAAATGTGAAGGTGTATTGAAAGCGTTCGGGACTAGGCCTGTTGAATTCTGAAGAGGCTGGTACCCAAATGCAATAAAAAACTCGAAAAATTGTAGCGAGCTCGGCGTCTCAAGGGCTGATCCCTTCAGACGACAAGAAGCCATTGCTACCAATCCCAGCGGTACAAGACCACATAAGACGGAACTCTCCCATCATGTTCAGCAAATGCCTGAACCCCCTTTCCACATTCAACTAGATCTCAATCTCTCCCTTCTCTTCGAACACAACATATTGCTTCTGTCCCCCTTTTTTGAAACTATCGGTCGATCCGAGAGTGTCTTCCATGAATTGCATGTATGTCACCTTTCCGTCTTCGTTGACCTTACACCAGATCGAAAACGGACTGACGGACACCTGTCCCAAGGATCTCGAGCGATAGGTGAAACTGCCAAAGACCGCTACATCTTCCCCAGCGCCAAAAAGGGTCTGGATCTCAAAGGCTTCGTTGGCCCAGATTCGATTGACGGTGGCAAAGGTATCGATAATGGCCTGTGGGCCGGCTGGGACAGTCGTAAGCACAGCCACTTAAGGCAGGCAAGATAGCCTGGTACCTTTTGTATGGCTACCTGCGTACGGCAGGATCTTGGTAAGATCAGGGTTGTCGTAGTTGAGTGATACATAAGTTGCATCTGGGGCAACGAGCTCTCTGACTACCTACTAGGCGGTCAATATCCAGCGGTTCTGCGATTGGGCACGAATAAGAAGCGGACTGACCTCGGGATTGAGTGTGTTCTTGAGAAGCTTCGAGACAACTTCGGTAGGTGTAGTAGACGACATTGTGGCAATAACAGTCCAGGGTGTCGGTCAAAGAGCGAGAGAGCGGAAGTCTGTGGACATGGGAGGGAGTGCGGACGAGGCCCATCTTGAGTTTCTGCACTCAAACGTTGACTCCTCAGCCTCGACGGGTCGACGTGGGGTAGATGCCCAAACCCCGCGCATTAGTGATTGATTGTCTTCCATCTCCAAGGCTTAGAAATATTTCACACGGTTTGGTGATTTGTAACGCTTGAAAGATGCGTTGAGGGTTGTTTGAAATCTGCTTTGTAAGAACGATCGGCGCCAAGAAGGATAAGGCTGCATCTGCCGCTAGGCTTGCTAGTTCCGCCGATATCAACGCTAACCCTGTCAAATCATTGCAACCAAACCACTTCAATTGAACATGTAGACCAACCGTAAGGTACCCCGACCTTCGTGATGCATTGAGCTGCATCAGCTTATCCATAGCGCTCATTTAGATGCATTACAAAGCTCCCTAGATCGGGTCAGAGTTCTATTGTCATAATTGCCAATCCCTCACACATCACACGAATGCTATCCCAAACAGTGTACAAGCAGCAAGCTGCCTTGTCGTGGACTGCTTTCGCCCCTCCCCAACGATGGAGATAAGTTCAAAAGGTTGATCAGCAATACAGCTAGACTAGGTGACCAGACGTCGGACGTTCTGCTTTCCTGGCCAGAACCCTGAAGCTCTCCTTGACTTGTTGCTCTGGTACCAATGTTGAAAACACGCCATCGCTTGCAACACTTACGATCGAGACACATGGCAGCCGAGATCAACGGGCTGTCATACTTGTTCTTGGCTAGGCTACATCGATCCTCCGCTGCAGAAGCATAGAACCCATGCCAACCAGCCAGTCTTCCATTGCCAATCCTTTCCCTTTCAATTTGTCATTTCAAAGTAAGCTTCGTCGGCCTGGAGTCACATTTCAAATCCTCATGTCATCCCTGGTGACCCATCCAACATGTTCTTACTTCGGAGGAGGATTGGTTGTCGAGAAACAGTAGCGTGCGATCTTCCATTCGCCGCCAACTTTTTTGAAGACGAACAGCTCCTGATTGGCCTCGTTCCCTTTGCCACGACCTTTCACGACAGTTGTACCAGCGGAGTTAGTACCTGCATTTGGTCAGCCCCCAGGGTTTGTGCATAGGTCCTGCTCATTGCTTACGAGCGAAGGCGTATTCAGGGCTGACAGGCATGACCTCCTGGATGTCGAATTTGACATCGAATTTGATGATCTCGAAGAAGCTTTCGTAGGCCTTGCGCACGTTGGCAATGCCGACGAACGAGGGCGAGTGTTGGGGCATGACGATGCCATCTTGAGTGTAGAGCTTCACGGCGTCTTCAACGCTTGCGTTGTTGAGGGCATCTTGGTAAGCATGTAGGACAGCCGAGATCTGCTCGATATCTTTAGACACTGTTCTCACACGGTCAGGATGCTGTCTGTTGAGCTTGGAGACAGCTGTTTGCGGGACGTACTGATGAGGCTTCTGATATGTTGAGGCAGCAGTCCAGCTATACACATCCAACTTTTGAATGATCAAAGTCGTACCCTCCTGCAAGAAACGGGTCCTCGTCTCCTGTGCTATGTTCTTGTCAAGATTCTCTTTCTGAGTGGGTGTGAGGTCTCCTCTTATAAAGACTGAGGGAGAATGTGACAGGTCTGGTAGAGCCAAGCGCGGCTCCTACTCGTGGATGGTGTTATCTATCTTTCCTTAGCCTCCCCCTCCTGCTTTGGGGCTTTGGCAACAGGCTTTTCTACCGCATAGTATTGTCTCGGCTACAGGGGGCCTCGAACTCTAGCCTAGCGTGCATCGTGGTTAGGTAGGGTGATGAGATGGCTAGCACATCTGCAACCCGAAGGGCCTAGCGTGAGGATTACCCCGTTTTTGTCAATTAGTCAGAGCCCCGAATGCTTTGAGTTATCCTGACAAAGCTGACTATCTCAGGCCATCAATGCACTCGATCCTGCCGCTTTACACCTGTTGCACTGTCTCCGTAAGGCAGGCTCGATGAGACTAGACCAATCATGTTCGAATTCACTGCTGACATGTGACCAAGAGCAGCAGTCTGCGCAGACTTCCAGACTCAGGGCTCAGGGCGGCGATGCCGGCTTGACCTTCTTCCATGACGTCCACCTTCCCTAGTCTGGCCCCACACATTTGACGGCGCCTTGCCTAAAGAGCCTTTCTCGCTATGCTCTTGACGGACTGTCCTTGAACCCTTGAGGGTTTGAGACGGTCTCATGCAATCACGGTGAGCGAGCTCTGATAGGTGGATCAGGTCGGTGTTTCCTGCACAAGGTCTCCCTCCGGCATCCTGAGCATGTGATCAATTGCAAATCATTCAAAACCCAGGGACCCTGGGTTGGGCGCATGACTCGTGATCTTGTTACATTCCTTGTTTGGTCAAGTCTAGGCACGTTGCAACTATGAAGGTACGAGAGCAACTTGGCTGTCGGAAACAAGCCGAGACTACTCAAGTTTCAATGGAAACGTTGTGTCCAGCGTTCCTGCATCCCTTAATATTCTATGCTTTGGTCATCAGAACATTCGAAAACCCCTAGCACAATCCGTGAGGTCAACTTGCTTCTTCTCCTTGTTCCTTAACCTACCGAACCTCGGGTTTGTGAATGTGAACCCGACCTTCTATATCTCCTCCCTGTCTCACAAACCCCAGCCGCCACAACAAGGGAAAGCGACTCGAACCCCCAAATCCAGCCTATCTCCCACCTCTCACGTTTGAAACACCCTAGTATTGAAACCCAAAAAAGCCTCGTCGCTTTCAAACTTCTCAAACCTAAACAGGCACCAGAGACCTCCCTGTCGAATTCTCTCATCCTCCCTCAAGCCTGAAGAATTGTGAATGCATGACCTTGATCTCGATTCCATACTTACGCTACTACGGCTACCGGACCACCGGTTGCAGGCCCTGAGACATGTCCATTTCCATACTGCCAAAAGCAATCGATCCTTCTGCTCAAGAGGGGCAGAGCAGCCCCGGATATCAGCAGTCTCAGATCAATCCGCAGCCGACTATATTTTAGTCAACTCGCCCAGTGATGAAGAGGAAGTTCCCAAAATATCGGCCCCAGAACTATTTCGATCGGTCTGAGACATTTGCAGAGTATTGTCAGAGCGATTGAATTGTGACTTGGTGTTAACTGTTCACTATGATACACGTAGCTTCAGCCCACATGCAACGAGCCAAGAGGCGTCTAGCTCTGAAACAACGTGGAAGTCATGAGCACAAATGCCATCAACGTGATCGTCCACCGAGGAACCGGCCATGCCAAAAGCTACCAAAACTCCAGCTCATAAGATGCTAGACGAGAAAGCAGCAGTACCAGAACTCCCTCTTCTCCCTATTCGTCTGCAAAAATCCACTTTCCCTTCGGCCTAATCGCCTCCCAATATCTTTCTTGCACTTTCTCTCGCTCCATTATGTCCGCGGCAGCCCGATTGTCCGCTTCCTCTTGGGTAGTCGGAAAGTCCACTTCCCAAAGCCCTGGAGCCTCTCGTGCCCGTGGAAAGGCCTGTCTATGACAACCATATCGATTGGCAAATTCTTTAACCTTTGCTTCAATCAAGAGATCCGACCTCTCCTTCGAGGACATACTCCTCAACTGGCGGTGGTTGTCTCCAAGAAACTCTTGCATCAGACGCCAGTCCGCCTCGTCTTCGCTTTCTCCCGGCTTCTGAGCCGTGTTATATCCGCTATCGGTAATATATTTCCGAAGCTCCTTGCATCTTAGACAGTGACGGTCGGTGCAACCGGAGAGAGACTTCTTCTCATCGTGTCTGCGGACGGTCTCGTGATATGCGTAGTCACTATAAGAGGGATTTAACTTGAAATCTTGCAGGCCGAGGCGATCTACTGGTCGCGTTCGGAGAGGTTCCTGCTCTGGCCGGGTTTCCGAGTAGTCTACCAGTGGGGCCTTGCGAAATGCTGGGAGATTCTTTGTTCTTTTAGTCACGGCTTGCGCTGACTCGCTAAAATTTGCCAGTTCGGATTTATTTCCTGGGCAATGGTTGAGCTCAGATCTCTTGGCCGGGAGGCTTCGAGGTGTAGCTGGAGCTTTGGACCTTTTATGATACACTGACTGGGGAATTGGCGTCTTTGACCATGCCTGATCAGGAGAGACATGGGCAACAGACTCTTCGGATATGAGGAGCGACTTCTCAGGAGAGGGTTTGGTCAATAGAGCCCCGAGGCGATGGTGGGTAGGTGGCGCTTTGGGTTCCTTATCCGCAGGCCCATGCGAATTATTTTGCACGTCCCCAAGAATCTTCCCAGTCTTAAGTGCATCACAGTTGGAAGACAGTCTTTCTCCGTCTTCAGCTAAGACTGCCATATAGGCTGCACCGCGATCTTGGCGACTTGGAGGACAGGGCCGCTTTCGATTTGCGGATGGATCGCTGGTCCTCGGTAAAACAGAGGCATTGACATCTCTAGACTGTAGAATAACAGGGCTAGCCAATTGGGGTTTTCGTTGCCCGACTTCTCGAGGGTCGTTAGGCGTGTGGGGTTGTTGGGCAGGCTCGTTGGTAATCGGAGATGAGGACCTGGGAAGGTCGAGAATGGGGTTCCTCTTCTCAGCGGCCTCTAGCCGTTGATGAATCCGATCATTGTGGGCGTGTTGTCGGGCCATCCTCTCATCTCTGCGAACTTTCTTCTTGTCATCTGCTGTTTTCTCGGGTAGGGTGGTATACTTTTCTGTGGATGAGCTGGCTTGCTTGTCTCGCTCGCCCTCGATATCGGAGTGCTCGTCATCTAAATGTCGAGGATATTGGGCCGCCGTCATATCATCTAGCTTGTCTTCTTCGTCCTGCGCTGCTGTCAAAGTTACCATCATTGAGGACCTAAGCCGTTCCTGCGCCATTCGTTGCCTCTTCCTCGGCGTATCGAGATGGCCTCCCACATCGTCCAAGTCAAGACTGTCATGGGGTCCATTCAAATGAAGGAGAGGTGGAACTGGTATTGGACTTGAAAATTGCTC